CCACCCACCTGGTGCCCAAAGCCAGTGGTGAAGTGGCCGGGGTGCCCCTGGTCCAGCTCTGGTGACGTCTCATCATTGAACCCCTCGCACTCCAGCGCCTTGGCAATGAGCGCAGAGTAGTCCTTGGGGCCGCCCTTGGCGTCGCCGATGTGCTTCACGCCTGGGCGCATCAAGGGCCGGCATGGGGAGATGGCGTTCAATCAGGGGGAGAGGAGCGCTGGATGGTCGGGCGGTGGTAAGCAGCAGTGCAGCAGGGTTCACACGCACGCGCGGCAACCCCACGCATCTGTGCAGACAGCAGCAAGCCTGCATAAAAGCACGCCAAAAGTAAGGCTGCTGGCAGGCAGACCAGGGGGCGCGCTGGCAGGCTTGAGAGGGGGCCCGTCAGCTGCGACACTGTCCCCTCTTGGCTTGACCTTCATCGTCTGCTGGCTGGTGGCCCCCCCACATGTGCACCCCATTGCCAGCCCCACCCGTGAGGCCGGCCTCGTTTGTGGTGAAGAGGCGGTCCTTGTAGCTCTTGGGGGGCTCCAGCACGCAGTTGGTGGTGGCCAGGATGGCGCCAGGGAACATCGCAAACTCGCGCTGCGGGTGGGGTGGGGTGGATGGAGGGGTTGCATGGGTAAGCAGGGTCCGTGGCTGCGACATTACGCGTCGCGGAGTGACACGCACGCAGGCGGCGCGGCGCATCGCGACAATTTCGCCCGCGAGGTGTTGGGTGTGCGCAAGCGGCTCCTTTGATAATAAGGGCAGCAAAAGCAACCCTGACCCGGCCCAGCCACCCCCGCCCTACCCAGACCAAGCCGTTCTCACGCATTTGGACCACACACCCCCAACGGCCTGGCCAGACCAATCTTGCCCCACCTTCTGCAGCTGCCAGGGGCCGCCGTAGTGCCCTGCCAGGTGGGGGTACTTCTTCAGCCCGGGGTAGGCGTGGGCCGGCAGCATCTCGCCGTGAGTGTAGACTGGAGGCAGAGGGTTGATCCAGGCCAGCATGGGTTGATGTCAACAGGCCGCCGTGGGAGGAAGGGCTTGGGCCCAAGGGGCAAGGCATGCTCTGGAAGGGGGCCGACGTCGGCAGTACAAACAGGGCGTACGCACTAGACTCACAAGCGAGGCCCCTTTCCTCATCCACACGTCTATGTGCCCGGCCGCCGCCAACCAAGAACCCCCGCCGGCGAGCAACCTTTCATCGCCGCCAGCCACAATGATTCGGTGACAGAGTGATGGCGCACCCCAGCCTCGAAGGGGCGCCTGCGCGCACCGCCGTTCCCAAGGGGCTCACCGTTGATGCCCTTGCCCTCTGTGGCCTGCAGCAGGGCGTCCATGTCCGCCATGTCGTGGCCGCTGACGAGGATACAGGGGCCGGGGCGCACCGACAGCGTCACCTGGGTCGGCTCGGGGGCGCCAAACCTGGGGGTAGCAGGCGCCAGGTAGGGTTGGGGAGTGGTGATGTGGGTGCGTGCATGGCTGGGACAGGTTCGAGGATGAGGGAAAGAGGCGAGCGGACAGTCTTTCATTTGCAAAACTGATCCAATGGACCGCTGCAACAGGCAGACAGGCCGCCGAGGCGGCGGGGTCGGCGGCATTCACTGGCTGCGGCATGACACCGCCGCCTCCTGGTGCGCTGCCTGGCCAAACTCGCGCCACGGCGCTGCTCCAAAATTGGGAACAACGCGCAAACTCGCGGCCCCACCTGCCCGCGTGGGCCTCGGACAGCATCTGCATGGTCTTGAGGTTGACGCCCCCCAGCCGCAGCAGCCACTCCAGCACGGCACCGGCGTCCTTGGCGGCGGGGGAGGCCAGGAACACCAGGGCCTCCTGGATGGCGGCGTACTGGGCAGGGTCGCGCGCGCCGAGCATGTCTGCGTAGGCGAGGGGTTGCATGTATGTGTTAAGGTAATGTCATGTGGAGTTCGTGGAATCGTTAGAGGTAGGGCGCAGCGGGAAGGGTAGACAAGAATATATTGGGGGGGTTTGAGGTGGCTGGGGATGCTGAACGATTGAAGGGACTCCTGAGTGTGTTCTGATTGCCGGTTGCAGGGCAAATCTGGTCTTGGATGAGCGGGAGTTGAGGCGGCGGCGGCGGAGGAGGAGCAGGCGCGCGGCTCACCGGCGTGGTGGGTGTAGGCGGCGACGCCCTTGATGCCTGGGGGCGGGCAGGTGCCCATGAAGTGTGAGGGAGAGAGCAGGGGCACGTAAGAAGTACAACAGACAAGCGCACAACTTGCTAGGGACGCAGTTGGGCAAATGGGCAAGCAGGCGAGCAGGAACAGGCGTGATTGTGTGCAGGGGCAGTCCAGACACAGCATCAGGGCAAAACGCAGCAGCAGGAAATAGGCCTGGGCAACTGCTGGACAGGGTAGGCGGCAGCTGCGAGGCCTGGTGTGCGCCCTACACAAACCAGGCCGCAACCAACGCCAACCCAGCGCCAATGACTCCCCCCCACGCACTCATCCACCCGCCCGCCCGCCCACCGTATGCGAGGCACTCCTGCAGGCCTGCCAGGGTGGCGCCCAGGGTGCGGCGGCGCGCGTCGACGCCCACCTGAGGGTTCAGGTGGTGTGCGGGCCGGTTTTATGAACGGGTGTGCTTTGGGTACCAATTGCATGCTTGATCCAATTGCATGCTTTATCCATAAATCTCAATCGAACACACAGCTGTGGCACAGAGTGTCCTGAACGTAGCATCCAAGGCAACCTGCTCCGCTCGGCTGCGGCTGGCGGGGCCAGCAACACCCCCTCGGAAAAGCCACAGCCCGGCACCCCCACCCGATTGAGCAGCCCACCTGGCGCGAGATGCGCTGCAGTTCCTTGGCGCCCGCCCCCTTGGGCACGCTCCACGACACGGGGTGCGGCAGCCCGGCAGCCCCCCAGCCCAGCTCCTCAGCGGAGGCACCCTGGGGCGGCGCGCCCCCCTTGGCCTTGACGGCTGCCGCCAGGCGCGCCTTGAAGGCGTCTGCCTGCTGCAGGATCTCCACGAAGCGCGCGTCATCAAAGTTGACTGGCGGCGAGGGATTACGGGAGGTGTGTTGTCAGGAATCAGTCACAATATAATGCAGGGGGCGCTGTCGGGCATTGACCTGAACGTTCGGATCAGGGCGTCGGCATGAACAGCAGCCGAGAGGCTCTGATGTTTGGGGCAAGCCAGCCGCAGCGCTCGAAAGTGGAGCACCGTGGGGCCTGCAGCAGCGCCGCCTCATGAACAAGCTGAAAGCAGGCGCGTGCCGTCTCACCGTTGGTGAGGGTGGCAAAGACAGACCCGTTGATGAAAGTGTCAATCTGTAATATGATTGCGAGTTTGAGGAGTGCAGAGGGGCCGATGGCAGTGATGCTATGGCATGAGTAACTTATCTATCTATCTGCAGAGTCAACAGAGGCTAGCGTAGACGTGTGTGCAGCCGGCCCTGGCCGAGGCGACTAGCGCGCAGGTGACTGTGCACTGCGGCACGATGCGCTCGCACACACGGCAAGTTTCCAAGGTCGGACCTATGGCCCAGGGCTGCTAGTGGGAAGCACCAAATGCGTGCGGCCCTCCACCCACTGCCATGCATACCCATGCGTATGCACGCACGCAGGCACGCAGGCACACGCACGCTTGCCACAACAGCATCAAGCGCGCACAGGCGGCCAACCTCGGGGTCGATGACACCGACAGCACGCGCGGCCAGGGACCAGGCCGCGAGGCCCTTGAGAGAGTACATGGTCAGATCCTGGGGGTTGGGTGGGCGTGTGTGCGTGTGCGTGCGTGTGTTCTTGCGCTCTTGTGTGCTTGCATGCGTGTGTGCTTGCATGCGTGTGTGTGTGTGTGTGTGTGTGTGTGTGTGTGTGTGTGTGTGTGTGCGTGCGTGCGTGCGTGCGTGCGTGCGTGCGAGAGGAGTTGGGGGATGCGCGCAGCAGGGCGGGTTGTGCGGGGATTGGGACGGATGAGTACGTGCGATCCTGGCAGCATGATGGAGTATTGGGGCCAGAAGATGCAAGCCAGTTGTATAGTGCTGCAAGCGCCAATGCATGTTATGCATTTGCTTGCACCGCTTGAGTGCTACGCCGCGACGCAGCCCAAACGACGCAGCTGCTGGGCCGCCGGGCTGGCCGCACACACGGGCTGTGGGCAGTGCAGCTCCCCTCATCAACAACATCGCCATCATGTTCAGATCCCTTCCCACCTGCAGGCCGGCCACGAGGGGCGTCTTGCCGCAGACGCCGGTGGTGGTGCAGCCAGTGCCGTCCTGCGTCTGCTCGCACTGCAAGGGGCGGGAGAGGGCCGACGCAGGCGAAGATGATGGGCTGGTGGTTCGATTTTGGGCTCGGTGTGCGCATGATGAAAGGCCGTCTGTGGCTGGGTCAAATTTGTTGCTGGTTTGCGCTTGGTTGGGCTTGAGGCTGGATGTATCTAGGGTGGCTTGGGCATGGGGCATGCGTCACGCTGCGCTGCTCCGCGCCGCAGCTAGTCCGGTCTGCCAACTTTGCCAGGCGACGCCCGGTCATCGGCCCCTGCAGCGCGAGGGGCCGCCCCTGGCGCTGCCCAACCCATGCCTTGACTGCATACCTGGAAGCAGAACATGTCAGTCTGCAGCGCTGGCTGCGCGGCCGCAGCGAAACCGCGCAGCTGCACGAATGGCGCCAGGGCGGGCGCGGCGCGGCGCAGCACAGTGGCCACGTTGCCCGCGGCAGGCCCTGTAGTGGCGGCCACTGCGCCGCCCTGGGCGGAGGCTCGGGCGCCGGCCGCCATCGCCATACGCATCAGCTTGGTTGATCCACGCCTCATGATGCTGCAGGGGGTTGATGATCAGGAGCTTTTTTGCTTTCGGCGGTATCTGGGATCTGACCTCCGACACCGTGCAGCACCAGCGAGACGTGGAAATGCTATAGCAGCCCAAACGTCAAAGGTTGGCTTATTCTCGTCCCAGAAGAGGGATGGTCGACTACGTGTATTACCGGCAAGGGCCACCCGGAAGGGGTCACCTGGCGAATACAACCAAGAAGACTCGCGTTCGACGTACCCAATGCGTTCATTTCAACTATCATCAATCCTCTGACTGAATCGTGTCGCCCTGCGCCGTTCCGTTCAAAGCGCGTCACCACTCAAGACAGTTGTCTCATTGTCAGTGCGCCCTGCCGCGCTCTTGCATCACCAGCTACGTTTGCCAAGGCGCCTCCGAGGGTGCAGACATAGGAACTTTGGCCCTAGTCCCTGCCGGAGCCTATCATAATACCAAACAGCGGTGATGCTGCTGGCAGCTGCGCGCCAGCAATTGCTCGGGCGTGCCACAGCACCCGTGATCGCCGCGGCTGCTGCCGCTGCAGCGGCGAGCATTTGGGTCCCCATCGCCGCCGCAGCGGCGGCGGCACCGCGCCCAACACCTCAGCGGCGCCAATGGCTCCCCCGCGGCCTGAGCAGCGCCAGCTGCCCGCCGCATGCCGCCGCCGGCAGTGCTGTAATTGCTGCCGTGGTCGACGCAGCGACGGCCGCGGCGCAGTCCGCAGCGGCGCCGCCAGAGTCCGTCGTGCCGTCGCTCGCGACCCCGGCGCCCGCACCAGGTACTTTGGGTGCAGCATCTGCAGCCAACGCGGCGGCCGGGCATGCGGCGGCGGACACGCTCTATTCGCTGCGGCAGGTGCGGGGTCGGGGCTCGGTGCCCATCTGGACCCCTGCAAGGGTCCCTCACGCGTTTGTAGACAATAGAAGCGCGTTGTGCGAGCTGCCTGTGCCGGCTGTGGGGGCAGCAGAGCGGTGACACGCAGGCAACTGAAACGCATTGTGCGACAGCGGACGGTCGCCCAACCCTGTCCGCCCCTGCCAGCTGGCACATTTCAGGCACACTTACAAGTCTATGTCTGTTACCGAAACCTAGGCACATGCACACGCACGGACACAGGTGTCCAAGCACGCATCCGATGACTCATGCTGGATGGTAGTGGACGGAGAGGTGCGGTGGCCCTCACAACAGGCAAATTTTCCCTTGGCTTGCTGTCACCGCAGGGCTCCGGCTTGACCCCTTACTGCTTTACTGTGGAGCACTATTGATTACGAGCGAACGCCCTTGATTAGCCATCCTTACCCTGCGATGCTGCTGTATATGCGGCCCGGACCGCCCGGCATGCGCGGCCGCTTGCCGCCCCATCTTTGAGACCAGACACCGGCCGGCACCACTGACGCCAGCGCTAATCTCCGGCAGGTGTTTGATGTGACGTCATACCTTGATGACCACCCTGGGGGGGCTGAGAGCATCCTGCTCAATGCAGGTGAGCAGGGTGGCGGAGTGGGTGGTTCAGATATGAAAGGCTCAGGGGGGTGGGGTATGCGGGATGGGTGCAGGCCGTGGAGAGGTGTGGTGTGGGGTGTGTGAGACGAAGAGGCGGAGGAATGTGGGCACAGGAGGGCAGGTAAAGGCAGACGGCATTCCAACCCCAGCATGCCACGCCCATTGGACAGCAGTGGGAGTGCAGTTGGTTGTGATGTCGTTGCAGCTGCTGATCAGCCACAAATGCCAGGTGTGCGCGCGTGTGCGTGTGCGTTGTTGCAGCTGCGTTCGCGTGTGAGACAATCACACGCGCAGCCATGAACACTGCCCTTTTCATGGCACATGTAATCTACCACAGGCGTTGACGCCACAGAGGAGTTCAACGCCATCCACAGCGCAGAGGCCAAGGCCCTCCTCAAAAGGTTCAGGATCGGCGCCCTGAGCGGCCCCAAACCAAAGCCCGTCGCTGTGGCCGCCTCCGCCTCCATCTCCGCGGCCGCCGCCGCCGCCGCCGCCACAGCAGCAGCAGCAGCAGCCGCGCCCGCGTCCACGGCAGCAGAGGCCGTGCTGGCGGAGGTCCGGGAGCTGCGGCCCCCCTCCCCGCTCCCGCCGCCGCCGCCCGCCGCGGCCGCGGTGCCGTCCGCCGATGACGTCGCGGTGATGTCAGCGCCGGTGGCGCTGGCGGACCCGCGGGTGCGGTACAACCTGCCCCTGGAGAGCAGCCAGCGGCTGAGTCACGACACGTACCTCATGCGTTTTGCGCTGCCCAGCCCGCAGCACCGGGTCGGGCTGCCGTGCGGGAAGCACGTGTTTCTGTTTGCAGGTGAGCACACGCTTTTGGGGGCTTGCCGTGTGATTGTCACATTTACACATCTCATACACTTTGCCAGCAACAGAAGGGAAACCCCTTTGGAAAGGGGGAACACGCTGTTGTGCCTGATGGTTGGGTTAACCTTGCGTTAGCGAGGGGCAAGTCATGACGTGCTTTGAACGGGCCGCGTTGCTGCTTTGGCGCCGCCAGTGCAGCTTTTCAGCTCATGCGTACGCCAGCTGTCGAGTTCCAAATTTGTCCGCATAGTTTGCGTTCACGTCACATCCTGCCCCAAACGAGAACCTTCGCGCCAGACCACGGACCCTGCACCCAAATGCGACGCCGCCGATCAAACCGCCCCTCCAAAAACCGGCCCCAGACATCGGCGGGGAGCTGGTGGCACGCGCCTACACGCCCCTCAGCAGTGACAGGGACCTGGGGCGGCTGGATCTGCTGCTTAAGGTGCGCGTTTGTTGTGCAGGAGGGGGTCCAGGCGTGATGTTCACGCGGCTGCGTGCGCGCAGGAACAGGCACGCACATGCTGGTCAGCTGCTTGCATGGCCTGGGTCAGGGGCTAGCTCCTGGGGTCAAGGAGCAGTGGGGCAAGTTCCAAGGCTTGGGATGGGCGGCTTTTTGAAAATGGGCGTGGGATTCCTTGAGCAAGCCGTGGCGTAAGGACAGCAGCCCGCCCAGTTGCAACACACGCAGTTTGATACAAAATGGTTCAACTGATGCAGCAACGCCCTTTGCCCCCGGCCACAGTGCGCTGCTTAGCTTGCCCTTGCCACCCAGCCGTGGGCACCTGCCGTGCTGCTGACCGTAGATTTTCCTTTTCATGGTGCCAAATTGCCTGCCACATCAGGTGTATTGGGCTGGGGAGAACCCCAGGTTCCCAGAGGGGGGCAAGATGAGTCAGCACCTGGCACGGCTCAAGGTGAGCCTGGCTGCGGCACGAGAAGGGGAGGGAGGTTGCAAAGAGAATTTGAGGGGGAGCACGAGCTGCCTTTGGCAGCGAAACAGGAGCTATGAGCGAAGAATAAACACATAGGGGTGGAGGATTGGGGGACACAGGTATGAGTGAGCCTCGCGCATGAGGTACGCAACCGACCCTGCCCCCTTGAACGCACCCAGTCCTTGTCAGTAAAGCGTCAGTGTACATGACACCCGCGGCTCACAACGCGCTGCTCGAGCCCGAACGACCCTCAAGCCGCAACCCCAACAACCCACCAACCTCCACCCAAAACACGCAGCCCGGCGACACCATCAGTGTCAAGGGGCCGATGGGCAAGTTTGACTACGCGGGGGCGGGAAGCTACGTATTCAACAGGCGGCCAGGCTCTGCCAGGTGGCTGTCCTTTGTCGCCGGCGGCTCAGGCATCACCCCCTGCTACGCGGTGCGTGCGCTGCAGAGCGCGAGGCGCGAGGCAGCAGGCCCCAGGCCATGGGACAAGGGGGTGCGAGGAAGGAGATGGGGGGCCGGGGGCGGCAGGTGCAACGCGGCAGGCACCGGGCTGGGGCGCAAGGGGACGGCCTGCCAGCGCGAGCAGGCTGTTGCCTGCGCACCAGGGGCGGGCTCAGGCGAGGCCTCCCTGCCTGGTTTGTGTAAACATTGCTTTGGGCTGAACGCCGGTTTCTGCTCCATCGTCACTCGACCAGTAGGCGCGTATCTGATTGCCACCTGTGCCCGCGCCCTCCCGCAAACAACCCGCCCCCCGTCTACCCCTCGCTCCCCATATAGAATCCCGCCCTCGCCATTCACACCGTGCCTCCCCTGGCTTCCGCCCCTCCCGGGCCGTCTTGACCAGGTCATCCGTGAGGCGCTGAGCGACCCTTCAGACCCGACGCGGCTGTCGCTGTTGTATGCAAACAAGGGGGAGGGCGACATCTGGCTGCGGCACGAGCTGGACGCATTTGCAGCCAAGCACCCCGACAGGTGCGGGCCAGGCTTCCATTGGACCATCAAACCGTGAAGCCTAGCGCCTCTGTTAGATCACTGCCTGCACCTTTGTGAATGCGTGTTTTGTGTTCTTCTAGCGCAAAGGGTTCAATTCTGGACGGTGGTGTTCTCCTAGGGGCATTCCGGCCATTTTGGTAGGGTGCAGCCTGCAGCTCACTAGGCTGGCAGCCGTACTAAGGAGTTCAGCCGTAGGCCGCCCCACGCCTGGCCGAACAATCACCAACTCACACCCCTGCCCCTCACAATTATCCCGTCAAGCCCCATGTCCAGCGCAAATGCGCAAATCCACCTTCCAGCCCACCCACCTCATCACACGCACCCACACAACCTGCCACCGCCTTCTCGCGCGCCTGAACCGCTCACCTCCCCTTTAACCCCAACCCCCATATTCAACCCCCTGAAAAAGGTTCACTGTGAGGTACGTCCTGGAGCAGCCGCCACACGGCTGGGCCGGCTCCAGCGGCAGGGTGAGCTGCACACCTCCCGTGATTGTGGCGCACGTTGACAACCTCACGTCGCCCCGGGGCTGTTTGCGTTATGCGGACGACATCCCTGAGCCCCTGTTTGGCCGAGGCTGCGCCCTTGGGCTTGATTCATACCCCAGTTGCGCCGAGATACTGTGGCAAGCGCAGCGCCAGCCAGAGCTGTCGACACCCGGTGTACTGCCATGCACCTCGGCCACCCGTCACTCGTCACTGACAGCAGGCCCACGACTGGTGCGCTGCAGGTGACCCTGGACATGCTGGCGCAGCACCTGCTGCCGTCGGGCCCCAACTCCCTAGCCCTCATGTGCGGCCCGCCTGGCATGATCGAGGTGAGGGGAGGGGAGGGGGCATGTAATTGCTGCCAGGGAGCTGGTCGTAAGGAATCTCACAACAAAAGTGCAGTATCCGTCTGTGCCGCGCGTTGTCGAATGGTTTGATTGATTTAAGATGACATGGGTTCAGACGGGTGCACCGCGCTCGAAACCACGCTCACAAGCTTGCCCTGCTGCTGCGTGCCGACCCCCCTGCCCCGGCGAACCAGTGCCCAATGCCACTGCCGCGAGCTGCTGCCCTCGCGGCGCAACTGACCCGCCTAGCTCGCACGTCAGCCAAACTCTCAAGCCAACCCACCTTTGCCATGATGGGGTTGCCCAATCCAGGCACCTGGCACAAGTTGCACGGGTACAATTCCCCCTCCTCACTCACTCTTCTCGCGCACAAGGACACCCCCACCGTCCCCCTGCAAATTCTACCTGCACGCTCCGCCCGCATCCCCACTTTCCCGCTGCCCCCTCGCCTCCCTCTCCAACCCCAACCCCAGATGGCGGTCCTGCCTGGCCTGCAGCAGCTGGGCTTCAAGGGGGCGCAGGGGGACAGGGAGGACATTGTCGTGTTCTGATGTAGGCCGAGGTCCCTGGGGCATTGTCGCCCGCACCGGCACTCGGCCTGGCGCCGTGACTCACCTTTCGAAGGGGTCCACTGGCACCCGGCATTTCAGGGGCCTGGAAGTGGGATAATTGGGCCAACTGTTTACTGCATCCTTTCACCGACAGTGCACGGGCCCGCTTTGGTGGGGGCCCAATGCCCGCCACCCGCCAGACACAGTGTTTTGCGCTTGGCGGCGTTCTTGCAGGGGGCATGCAGGTGTCGGCGTGGTGCAGCGTCATTTGGCGTCACCGGCACACGCTGGAAAGCGACTGGTAGTTATCAAGAGGACAGCGCTGCCCGAGGAGCATGTGGTGTCTTGATCCTGGCTACGGCTCATGAGCCGAGCGCCCCCAAGGGTTGCCTTCTCACTGGGGATCCTCCCACAAATGCGCTCTGCCACCTGGCCCACTGTCCACTTGCCTTGCTGCTGAGCTTGCCAGTTGCACAGGAGATTGATGGTGGCATTTCCAACAGGCATTGTTTGGAGACGCTGCGTGGTACCTGCAGTTACTTATATTTTCCAAACAACCACCATGCCAGCAGCCTTTTGGTGCGCACTCCTCTTTTTGTGCGCCGCACATGCGCCGTCAACCATACTTGATGCCCAAGCCCCCGCTGTTCCAGCCGCCAACCGGGCCTCCGGCTTGGCAGCACCCAAAGCACCGCCAACCCAATCCACAGCTTGCTTTAGCCACAACACAAAGCGCAATGTTGCTTTCCAGCAGCCTGTGGTGCAGCGCAGCTCCAGCTTGGCTTGACCGCTCACCTGCTTGCTGTTCCTGCACTGAAGCAGGCGCCATTCTCACACTACAAGCATTATAAATGAATGTAAAGCGAGTCGTGCCGCACATACGTATTGCCCTTGTAATCCCATTTTCAAATCTCTCGGTCATGCAATTGCAGCCGCAGCAGCAGCAGCAGCAGCAGCAGCAGCAGCAGCAGCAGCAGCAGCAGCAGCAGCAGCAGCAGCAGCAGCCTTTCATCCCAGCTGTCGGGAATCCGTTACAAGCCCGCCCAAAATATCATTCTAACGGCGTCAAGCACATCAATGACTTTCTGGTAGCTGGCAAGTAAGGCCTTCTTGCTTGGAAGCACAGGAGTCCATCAGAGCCCGGGCGGATAGCTGGAGCTGCGGCTTTCTGTGCTGGTGTCTGATTGAAAGCTGAGGTAAGTGATGGCGTGATCCTTTTGGCCCTCCGATTGATCCTCTTGAGGACTGCTGTCTCTAGACACGTCACCCCAACGCCTGCGAGTCTTGCATCCTGCTGCTCTCTCTCGGCTCTTTCCTCGTCTGCCCCCCCCCTGGGGCCCTGAGTGGTGCTCTGCTGCCCCTGCTGAGCACTGTTAAGCCCTGTCGTCCTGGATGATTACTCCAATTCAGCACATTTCTGAACAATGAAATCACCTCAAGGCATGAGTACACAAGACCAGCACAGCATCGATCAATGCAGTTTCAAAAATGAAAATGCCACCAGCATCCACCTAGCCGCAACAGCCAGTTTGCGCATGATGGTTGAATGTTTCTACCTAAAGTAAACATATGTATTACACTAGAAAATTGACGGGGACGCTCGTTGCGGCTGGCAATGATGATCTGTGTGAAAGAAAGGGTCATGTTTGCTGGTCAGCAAAGGGGGGGCCATTGCTGTGCTGCTCAAGATGGTTGATCGGTCAGATAGGGTGGTTGCTGCGCAATGTTATTGAAAGGCAGGTGCAATGCAGAAGCCATACAGAACAGCCAGGAGTTCATATGGCTCATCCCCGGTGACGGGCAGTGGGACACTCAGGATTGCCAGGCAGTCATGAGCAGACACACAGACGGGCAAGACGTGCAAAGCTGCTGTCGCACTGGGCGGTTTGTTCATGTGCATTTGGGGCGCGTTGCTGCGCCATCGGCGGTGGTACGACATAGGCTCGGGTGATCTGAGACAGCATGGCAGATTGTTCAGGCGGCGCGGTCGTTGTAGCGGGTCTGCAGGAGTGACAGTTGAAGGGCGGGTATACAATTGTTTTGTGTGAAGATGTGTCTTGTCGGGAACCCAGGTAGCGTAGCGCTCCAAGGCAAAGGCAACCTGCGCCCGCAGGCATTGGATCGCCGCAGGGAGCAAGGGTGGCCGCAGCTGCATGACTTCAGTCGTCGATTTCAGTGCAAATCTGTGCGTGGGCCTGCAGAATCCTGCAGGGTCCCAGCTCACCGTGCGCGACATGCGCGACTTGGCCTGGTGCGGCTTGAGCGCGTTCAGCGCGCTGTTTGCCTCCAACAGGTCCTGCAAGCAACACAGGCCACCAGTGGCTAGGCATCATGTGCTGGCTGTTGGCCATGTACGTGTGGACCCTTGAGAAGCCATTGTGCAATTTGAGCCGGCCCAATTGGGCAGCGCAGATTTGATTCGACAAGCACCCGGCCCTGTGCAGCCAGCGGCAGCGATAGAGAGCCGGCTGCCCAGGCTTGTGAGCTCGCAAGCTCCCCAGAGCGCCCGTGGCGCTGCACGCCCGACCTACGTCAAACTGGCCGCGGAGCGCGTCCGCCGCGCGCGCCTTGCACGCCGCCAGCTCCCGGAGCTGCGCTTTGGCCACCTCCAGCTCCGCCTGTTGCCAAGTTGTTTGCGCAATGCGGATTGAGAGGAAGGGCCTGGTCGAAGCCAGCAGGTACGCTGCAGATTTGTGATTGGCGGCTGGCCAGCAGCTGATGGACAGCGGCCTGATGCACAGGCGTGTGCTGCCGGGCACATGAAGGTCAGGGGTGAGCCATGGTGGCGCCCCGCCCACCGCCTGGTCCTGGCTCTTGCGCAGCTGGCGCTCCAGGTGATCCCTCATGCGTGCGACACGCGCGTCGGCCGCCGCCGCGCTTGCCTCCGCGCGCGCGGCGCGCGCCTCGGCCTCCTGGTGGGGTTGATGCACACAGCGCATGTGAGGGGCCAAGAGTTTGGGGCCCGTGGCGGGGCGCATGTGAGGGACCAAAGCCTCAAAGCACACACCAGCTTGTAGGAAAACCAATGATCACATCAGTACTGCAACACGACTATGATATGGATTCCAGAAATGTCCTAGACTCCAAATATTGGACACGCCATGCCATGAAACTTGCGATGCCTGGCACGGCGTGAGCTGGCTGTGGCATGCCAACGTATGGCGTTGCGGGGAGCTGCCGGAGCCGCTGACCTGGCAAGGGGCGTTGGCGGGGGCGATGGTGATGTTGAGCTGGATGGGGCCGTTGCTGTTGCTGCTGATGCTAGTGGTGGCCGTGGCCGCGGTGGTAGCTGTGGTAGCGGCGATGGGGCCAGTGGTAGAGGCCTCGGGCTCGGCCAGCAACACCGCCAGGGAGTGTGCCTTGTGCTGGGCAGGGGAGGAGGGTGCAGGAGGCGCGGCCACGACCACGGCAGCTGTGTGTGACGCGGGGCCTGATGATTATGCCTGTTGGCGGAGGGACGCGCTGTGCATGGCAGAGCGAGAAGCACGACTATGCTTCAGCTTGCTGCATGCGTGCGCCAAACGTGCCACTCCAGCAGCCACCCCGCAGTTGCGAGGAAGGCTCAGAACCCAGATGCACAACGCCGAGCCTCGAGCGATGGCAACGCAAAGCCCAGCCCCTTCAACTCAATAGCACTCCTTGCAATGTTCCTCTGCGCTATTGCGCCCACCTTTGACAGCTTCATGTTGGATTCGGCCTTGAGCTCCCAGTCCTTGCAGTCACAGAGCCCCTCCAGCAGCGCTTTGGGTCGCGCCTCTGTGGACGCGCGCTTGGCGCGCAGGGCGGCGCCGTGGGCGGAGGAGGAGGGCGCGGCGGTGTAGGGCGCTGCGTCGCCCTCTGGCAACTCCTTGCAGTCGTGCATGGTGGCGTTCCACTCAGGATTGGCCACCTGCTAGCGTCCCTGGGGTAGGCATCGGGTTTTCATTGCAGCAACAAAACAGGGGTCAGTGTGGGTCGGCAGGCAGGATGGGATGCATGCGTTCTGCGATAATCACCTGCCGAGGTGCGCATGCGCAGGAGGAAGACCCAGCTGATTCACAGCGTCCACGGGTCGTGAAGGAGCAGGTGTGAATGAAGCTGGGCCGGGCTGCTGCGTCTTGAAAGGGATTTGCACAGCCGCACCCATGCACTTTCATGCGTATCGCGCACATGCGGAGATTCGAGAGGCGCCGAACCCGCTGTAATAGTGGCTTCTAAGTGACAGGGGCAGCATGAGAAGCCACGCAGCGACGAGCAGCGCAGCGATGTGACCGGCGGCGTCATCTGGGCGCGCACCTTGCCGTCCATGACGTGTTCGCGCTCTGCAGAATTGGCGGCACGGGTGTCCTGTCTGCGGTGTTGGGATTATCAAGGCCTTGAATTAGTATCGAAAGCAGGGGGCAGGGGCGCCAGACAGCTGAGGGTCGCAAGGCCCAGCATGACACAGCATGGGGGCATGACACGGCATGGGGGGCGAGACTCTCAGCAGCTAGGGCTGTTGGGGGCTTCTCATGCTGGTTGTGGTGGTATTCGTAGCGCTCCACGCTCATAAGAGTCAAGCATTCACCTAAGGGCCTGAGTCGCAGTGGAGTAGACGAAGGATCGCAAACATCCACACACCAGCGCAAGCAGCGGCAGTGCAGCGACAGCCAGGCTGGCCTGCTGCAGCGCGCAAGATTGGACCTCTTGGTTGGTTATGCGCTTCTCATTCGTGTAGTAATTATGGAGGAGCCTGCACAGGCTTTGGCTGTGATTCGTAGATCAAAAATATCACTGTCAGCAGCACGATCAAACACGATCCAGAAATGCTCAGCCTAGCACAAGCATCAAATCCAACTCATGAAAACGCAAATGCATTCACTTCAGCAGTCCAGGAGATAAGCAGGAACTGGCGATGGTTGGGTCTGATGCTCTGGTCTAGGGGCAAATACCGCAGCTACCATCCCAGTACAGCCTGCCCTTTTACACACACAACCTGTTTAGCCCTTAGCATCCAGACACAGCCAGTGGATGACAGGGAGTTTTGATAGCCTTTTGGGCACCCTAGATTCCAGTAAAGGTCTTGTCCGGCACACACGCCCCCACGCATGGCTGTGTGAGGGCCCCCTCGGCGCCCAAGGGGGCCTCCAGATCCCCCACACCGGTGGGGCAGCGAGGGCACGTGCAGCCGCCCTGACCCTTGCGCCCGTCCTTAAAGCATACTGGGTGCTCAGCCCCCGGTCTATAATCTACTCTACTCGTGCAAGCGTCTCATCTCTTCAGGTTTTCTGACAAGCCGGCACGCAGCATGCCTGGGTCGATGCTATGGGCAGGCAAAACCGCGTGATTGCCATGAAGTCGATGCAGCTCTGGTGGTGTGATCACTCACCATCAGATATTACACACAGGATCGAACCTTCACCCGGCCCATTGATGCTTGCTGTCCAGTACTAATCGTCAAAACTGGCGGCAAGCTCTGTGACCAGCTATACAGCACCAGCTGCCTCCGCAGTGCAAGATGTGGGCCTACGCTTTGGCAGTGGAGTGTATCCAGGCACTGGGGCAATTGCACAACATTGTCACTGCAGCAGCCGGGACCCGCTTGGCCGCTGTCAACGCCCGCACAAGGTGTCAGGTGATCCTGCTACAGAACAGCCGCCGGCTTGACAGCAGCTTTCCTGCATTGAGGCTAGCCTTTGCCCTGTGCTCTGATGATACAAGGCGCCACAGACAAGGTCGGTGGACTTTGGCAACGCCCCCATGAGTGTCTGTCGATCTCAAGCAACACATGCCCGGGCAGCGCGATGATCGCACATGATACATGCTATGTGCTGCACCATCTGCTGTGCTTATACTCATGATTGTGTGGTGATGTGCCTTTCTCATGTGGCTTGTAATTCACAAAGTCAATGAGTCAACGCTCCCGGGATGTTTCCACTTCCAATAATGGGCCTACACAACCCCCGCGAGTTTCATTGAGACCGACGCTCGATACGGTACATAATTCGCACCCATACTGCAAGGCATCCGAACATCATTCCGTGGCTCAACTCGCTGATCTATTGCATCACATCGATCCGGCAGCCTCTGCGGACCCAATCTCAGGCTGCAGCATGGGACTCAGGGTATTGGTTGACGATCGGAAGCTCGACACAGAACTGCTGAGGTCAGGCGCATGATCTGGCTGTCTGCGTGCGCATCGCTGCTTTGCGTTGTTGTGCGCTGCGCAAGCCAGTGTGTGCCAGCTGCCTGGTTCAGACAACAGGCAGCTGTGTATGCAAAGGCGCAATAAACCATACACTTGATTCGCAACAGCCCCGACCATATCTCTTCCCGCCGCAATCCCTCTGCCGAGCCGCAGCAGCAGCAGCTGCACCAGCAGCAACGCCACCACCAACGCCGCCGACGGCACAGATGTCGCTGCTCTCGACCAGCCCGTCGCCGCCCACCCAAGCTGCGCAATGCGTGCTGTTGGCCGGGCAGCCGGCGGCGCCGCCATGATTGCCGTGGCCGGCTGCGCCGCGGCTGTCGTTTGCGCCAAGCTTCTTCGGCGGCGGCGCGCAGGCCGCGCCCCTCCGGCCGCCGCGCCGCCACCTTCCGCCTCTGCATCTTCCACTGCCTGCGACGACAGTCTTCTGCTGTGCAAGAGGTGAGGCGCGCGCCAGGTTGCGGGGCAAGTGCGCCGGTCCGTTGCGTCAGCGCGCTCAGGCGATTGGCGCACACTGTGATCAGGCGCCAGCGTCACGCCTCCAGCCAAGCAGCCTGTTGCAGGCGATCGTGAGGGCAACGAGCAAAGCTGGCGGATCGCCGGCTTGCCATCTATGCTCTTTCTCAAGCAAGCCGCTTCACACTTCCCCACCCAAATTGTGCCCTTGCTTCCACCAGGCTCACCGCTTGCTGCGCCACCAGCAGGCGCTCCCGGGCGTCCTCAGGCTGCAGCAGCAGCGGCACCCTCACCACGGACACCAGTCCCGACATCACCGCCACCTCCATCGCGACCTCCAGCGGTGACATCAGCATCACCGCCCTGCTCGACCTCTCCACATCCATCGCCCCCGAGGCCGCCGCCGGGCTCAAGACGCCAGACAGCTGCAGCACCGACACGGGCCGCAGCACATCCCCCGACGCCGCCAGCGGCCGCGAGGTCCCCGCTGCGCCCTGCAACATTGACACTGCGCACCTGCCGCGCGGCGAGTGGGCGCCGTGCGGCAGCGAGCTGTATGCCGAGCTCGAGTCGCAACTGTGGTGCGACGCGGATGAGGTGTTCGCCGCCGGGGCGCCCCTGGGCGCCGGCGGCCAGGGCGAGGTGCGGCGCGTGGCGCTGCTGGGCCGCAGCTACGCGCTCAAGTGCGACACCAAGGGTGACTCAGAGGAGGGCGCGTTTGAGCACCAGCTCAGCGGCGCGGCGGCGCACGCGCGCGTGGTGAGGCCCATCGTGTCTGCCTGCGGCGACAACTGCGTGACGACCTACCACCTGTTTGAGCTGGCGGCGGGGGACCTGGACCACGTGATGACTGGCCACAGGTACCGCACCGGCCGGGCGCGCCTGTCGCCCGACCAGCTCGCCCCCGTGCTGCGCCAGCTGGCCGAGGCCCTCGGCGCGATGCACGCCGCCGGCCTGGCCCACAACGACGTCAAGCCGGCCAACTTCCTGCTGGGCTACGACGGCCGCCTCAAGATTGGAGACCTGGGGCTCACTGACAAAGCCTCCACGCCACCCTGCGGCCTGTCCAAACTGTACGCGGCGCCCGAGGTGGTGGTGCTCATGAGCGCGAGG